CGTGAGCCCCGGCACGTACCGCCCCGGCCACGCGGGGCCCGGGCCGCGCGGGGCCTCCGGTGCCGCCGGGACCGAGGACCGGGACCGGGTGTGCCGGGAGGCCGGGCCGGATACGGCCGCGACTTTGCACGGCAGAGCGGGACTTCCCTGAAACTTGTCCCACGGGGTGACTCGGCGCGGGGTCAGGAACGAGGGGTGCCCCTTGCTCCTCCACTGCCGGGCCCGGCCGCTTCACCGCTCCCGGGGGTCCTGGCCCTGATCCCAGGGATCCTGGCTTCATTCCCGGGACACTTGGCCGCACTACAGGGGTTCCTGGCTCTGCTTCCTGGGGTTCTGGCCCCACTCCTGGGGGTTCCTGGCCCCACTTTCGGGGGTCCTGGCCCTGCTCTGCGGGGTCCTGGCTTTTCTCACTGAGCTCCTGTCCCCACTCCTTGAGTCCTGGCTTCAGTCCCAGGGGTCCTGGCCCCACTACAGGGGGTCCTGGCCTTGCTTTTGGGGTCCTGGCCCCACTACAGGGGGTACTGGCCCTGCTCACAGAGGTCCTGGCCCCACTCCTGGAGTCCTGGCTCTGTTCCAGTGGTACCTGGTCCCATTCTTGTGGGCCCTGGCTCCACTCTTGGGGCTCCTGGCCCCACTTCTGTGGTCACTGGCCGTGCTTTTGTGGGTCCTGGCTCCACTTTTGGGGGCCCTGGCCCTCGTCTTGGGGAGTTCTGGCCCCACTACTGGGGTCCCTGGCCCTGCTTCTGGGAGTCCTGAACCTGCTCCTGGGGGTCCTGGCACTGTTTCTGGGGGCCCTTGACCCCCTCGGGTGCAGAACGCTGCACAGTGTCTATATCCAAACCCATCAGCGCTTAAAAATCCATTAAAATTAAAATCCATCGCCTGACATCCACCACAACATTTCTGATTGTCGCCGGCCTCGCAGGCAGCTGCGCTCCCGTGAAAGCAGGGATGCACTGCCAGGGGGAAGGCATTTCTGGTGGATCACAATTATTTCTGCTGGATCCAGCCCCGTGCCCCAAGCTACTGTGTGCCCAGGGATGTGGACAAGCTGGATGCTCTAGTCATTCCCCTCAAAATCTGGCTTTCCAGGATAAAACAGGCCCAGGCCCTGCATGCCCAGTGTCTCAGTGTATGGAAGAGGCCCTTGCTGGAAGTGTGTCCCCATCCCAAGCAGAATTCCTCACCCTCTGGATGCAAACCAGCCCGTAGCAGCCGTGCAACCGCTGCTCTTCACTCCCCATGTGTCCCAAATCCTGCACAAACGGACTGTTACCTGGGGATGTTTTTCTCCAGCTGCTCTCTCCCACTGCCTAATGACGCTAATTGTCTTCTGGGTCGCATGTCTAATGCTCTAATTTGTTTTAGAGTGATGTAGTGGTGTAGTGGTGCTGGGAGCCAAGGGAGGGAAAGAAGGGAATAAGCAGTGACACTCCACAGATGGAGACGGAGCAGCTGCAGGGAGATGCGAGCGTTTCCATATCAAAGGAACCGCTGCCCCTCCATCGCAGCGAGCGCGGTCACGGGTGTGCTCCGAGCATGTCGAGGCACTGAATGGACCAGGTGCACTCGATAAAAGACCAGGCACTACAACCAACTCCTTCACCCACTTCTGAGGCGAGACACCGTAACCCAAAGAGTGAGTGGGTGGGAGGCTCCCTTGATCCGTGTGTTTCTGTGTGACTGAGCAGGGAGAGGCCTGCGCTTTGTTTTGCGTAGACAACAAGATAAATAATAATTCAAAGGGGCAATTTTGGATCAAACTCAAAGTGCCACTTGGCTCTGCTGTTCTTTAAGATCCTATCTGGGCTCAAGGGCTCTGCTCTGCTGGGGCCAGGCAGTGGGAAGTGCTGCAGGGGATCCCAGCCAGGACAGGGGCTTCCAGTTTCCTTTGAGGAGACCCAGTGCCGCTGGGATGAATGAAGCCAGAGAGCGTGTCCTTCATCTGGCACTGACGTACAGTGCCCCAGGCATGTCTGGCTTTTAGAGCAATGCACAAAACAAGAGGCCAAGGATGGCAGAGCTCAGGTGAGCAGGGAGCTGCCAGAACACTGACGGGCCGGAGGTGCACGTGAGAAGCCATAGGACAGCATTAGTGCTCCTGTTCCTGCTGCTTCTTCATCTTATAGAAAGTGGAAAGGAGTTCTTCCTGCTCTGTGCTGCTGCATTTTTTCTCCTTTAAAAGACGGATTTGATATTAATCCCATTAGGAATTTTTTTCTTGTGAGGAAAACAGGATATTGTTTCAGGATATTGGGCAACAAAGCTGTCCTTGAAAAGCAATGCTAAGCAGCCTTGCAGTCCTGCTTCTGACTGCATTTGTTGTGGACACTAATCAAGTTCAACGTCCGGGACAGCCAAACCATTTCACTCCCGAGTGCGAGAGAGGCCTTGGCAGAGCAATTCCAGTTCAGGTTTTCTGTGTTCCATTGTAAATACTAAGGACCTCTAGTAATCTCAAAACATAATCACTAGCTCTGTTTCTCTTGGAATTAATGCCTCTAGCAGGTGTAAAAGTCTAGCCCTCATCTGTCATGAACACACATGTCCTGCTTGATAAGAGAGATAACAACATAAGTCCAAATCCAGGAATTATTGGAAATCTCTTGGGAAAATCTGTTCTGTTGAGATATCCATCCTAGTTTCCTGACTAAGCTTTGGGAAAAGGTTTTCTGAACTTTTGGATTCACATTTCACTTCAACTGAGCTTCCAAGCTCTGAGTTTACCCGTCATAGCAACCCTGTGACAATGGATGGGGAAGAGAAAGCGTCGGAGTGCCGTCCCCAGGGAACACACAGGTTCTCTTCTGCTGGATGATGCAGGCACGACATTGTTCAGGGGTGTGTTGGTGTAACAGCCTCTGTCATTGTTTAGAAAATAATCTGCCTTAGGAAAAATGTGCCTGCCAAGATGCTCAAAATGGCCTCTAATGCCATAGAAAACCTTTGCGGTTGTGGTCATTTTATGCTCAATTAGGGCAACACTTCCTCTCACCTGCCTGGGCTCCTGTTACCGCTCTGTCCCTGCCTGTGTCAGGCTCACACACATGTTCCCCGGGGACACAGACCATCCCTTAGCAAGGTTGTGTCTCCCCAAAGTGGTCCCAAGTCCCTCAGATCCTGACACTTGTGGCCTGCATCCACCGGCATGAAAAGCCCAGTACGTGTTACCCAGTGGCAGTGGAGATAATTCCTTGTCAAAATTGGCTGTAGCAGCACAGTGTGACCAGTGAGTGGTGAGACAGACAGTGATTTAGGTCAGGAGATGATGTGAGGCCAGCAGAAAGGGGACAATCTCCCAAAGCCTCTCCCAGGAGCCCTGACTGAAGGGAACTGCCGCCTCCCCATGAGCCCTCAGGGAAGGGGAGTGAGGAGGATGGTGTGGGGTGGTGGCAGTCAGAGGCACATGGCAGCAGGTCATCTGGTTTCACTGTTCCAGATGGGAAGAGGGTAACTGTGCCCTGCGGAGAGCTTTGCTTGCTGCATCTGCTTTGGCCTGGCTTTACTGCATCCTGCCTAGGAAAGGGAAGGCTGTGCTGTGTTGTGTGCTGGCTCCAGCCACGTCCCAGCAGCTGCCACACCTGCTCTCCTCTGCCAGGAGAAGCATCCTGTGCTTGGAGGGCTCATCTAGAGTTAAGGAACACATGGAGACCACCTGGCAAATGTTAAGTGATGTCACACGTTGCTGTGGTCCTCCCTTGTCCCTTGCACTGTGCCTCTTCCTTATCCTGCAGGGTGAGATCTCTCTGGCTCTGTTCTGTGGGCCCCTCATGCTGCAGCCTGCACCAGCAGGTCACCTTTTGCCAAGGAGCTTATCTGGCACGAGAAATAGTATCTCTGTTCCTCCTCCATCTCAATCCCTGGAACCAGAGGAAAGTGATGCTGTTTGATGTCCTTTCCAATGCTAATTCAATGCTCTGTGAGGACTCATGAGGGTCTCCACTCGATCTTCGAGGAGTGTGGGGGCTGCTGTCCTTCACTGCAGATTGCCATCCCATATGTTCCCAACACGGTGACTCGTTCTTTCCATGCTCTCCTTCCTCATTTCCCTAGTGCTGGCCGCCTGACAAGCACGTCTTGGCAGTGCCAGTCCTCCACTCAATCAGGCAACTCATCCTTTAGGGTCTGTAGCCAGTGCTGCCAGTGCCTCCATGCAGGCAGGGGAAGGGGCTGAGTTCTGTGCTTGGGGGGGGCTAATCTCACCCCAGGGAGTAACAGGGGTGCTGAAGG